CCGCCCCACTGCAGCTTCCAAATCAGACGCAGTACAGCAAAGTGCTGGCGGGAGAAGACGCTCACTCTTCCCCAATCCCCACTGCTTCCTCGGCCCCAGGATCTGGCTCGCCCAGCCCCGCCTGCTCCGAGCCCACCCGGGCCCCGCGCTCTCACCTCCAGCTTCCAGGTCTGGCGCACGTAGTCGCGCACCATGGCGTCTCGCAGGCAGTCGAAGACGCCGGGCTGAGGCTCAAGCCCCGACGGCCGGTTGCACGCCTTGCGCAGGTTGCAGGGCAGCCCGTCGGGGTCGCGCGAGTAGAACTCGCAGAGCTCGGCTGGGCCACAGTGCGCCTTCCCGCCGGCGATGGCGTAGGTGCCGTTGAGCTGGCGCTCAATGGGGAAGTGGTGGAAGCGCACGTCGTGCACGAGCGAGAGCACGTAGCCGCCCAGCGAACGCAGGCACTGGCGCAGCAGGAACAGGCCGTCGGCCATGCCCGCCAATTTTAGGTGCTCCTCGGCCTCGGCGCGCGAGATGCTACCGTAGAAAAAGGGCAGGTGCGCCGCGGGGTCTGGCATCGCCGCCGCTGCTCCTCACAGGTTGCACACCCCTGCGGGTTCAGAGCGGGATTGGGGGGCATGTCAGGGCCTCGCTTCCCTTCCTGAGCTCCGTCCATGGGCCCAGAGATAGTGGGAGAGAGGCCGCATTGAGGGGCATCCGTGGCATTGAGGGGCATCCCTGCCGATCGTGCTGAACATGCTTTGTGCCAGAATCAACTTGGAGAGGAGCCCCAGCTTGCGTCCCAAACCCACGTCTGACTTTTCAGAGACCTTTTGTGGAGTGCCCAGACACCACCACTGGCCCCCTCACACCAGCACCTGGAACCATTCATTCATCTCGCAAACACGTGTTGAAGTCTTACTGTTTCAGGCCAGTGCGGGAAATATGGGTGGAAAAGACAGACATGGTTCCTGCCCTCCTGAAGATGAGGTGAGGGAATGTAATAAACAAAGAGACAAAAATAATAACTACAGATTTAGGTCAGTGTTATAAAGTAAATACAGAGCGATATGAAGAGAGAGAAGAGGCCACTGTAGCTGGGATGGCCACCTTCTGAGGAGGAAGCATTTGAGCTGAGATCTGAAGGATGAGGAGGAGTTAACTTTTCAAAAAGCACCAAGGAGAGTACATCAGGTAGAGGGAACAGCAAGTGCAAAGGCTTTGAGGCTGGAACAAGCTTTGCTCATCAAAGGAACCTTACTCCATTAGCCTTCCCATCTCCCTTACCACTGATTCTTTCTCCCCAGCCTTAGAAATTCCCCCTGGGCCTCCACCTTCTGCCTTCATGGACAAGTTTCTAGAAAGGATAAACTAGTCTGAATATCCATCAATAGGGGATTGGTTAAATACACTAGGGTTTAACTCCAATGTGAACTTTGATAGAGTCATTAAACAAAATGAGGTATGTGATTGGGAAGTATGATCGTATATGGGGAGAAGGAATTAAGGATATTTTGGTAAATGGGTATCTGGTGAGGCAGATAACCTAAAATTATCTACCTTCAACTTCCTGGGTTATGGTGATGTCCAATATCTTGATAAGCATTGGGTAACACAGGTGTCTGAATTCCTCAAAAATCAGAATGTAGGGCCGGCTGAGTGGTGTGATGGTTAAGAACTGGCTTGGGATGCCAGAGG